GCGGTGGGGAGCGCAGCACGCCGGGGCCCGGGAGCTGGCCGAGCTCTACTCCCCAGGTGAGGGCGGCGGCGGGCAGCGCCCCGCGGGGCTGGGCGGGAGGGTGGGTGGGTGAGTGCTCCCCTCAGGGGGCGGCCCGGCTCCCCTCAGGGGGCGGCCCGGTTCCCCTCGGGCCCCGGCTCCCCTCGGGCCCCGGCTCCCCCCGGGCCCCGGCTCCCCCCGGGCCCCGGCTCCCCCCGGGCCCAGGCTCCCCCCGGGCCCAGGCTCCCCCCTGCCCCAACGGCCGGCCTGAGGCAGCGCGGCCCCTCCCGGCGCGGCTTCAGGACGCCCCGGGGGAGCGGAGGATGCCGGCCCGGGCCCTGCCGGGGTTGGGCCCTGTGGGGTGAGGTGACCCCAGGGCTGTGGCGGGGGATGCCGCATGCCGGTGGTCCCCGCTCCGCCTGCTGCCCGCCCGCACCTCGGCCTGGGCAGCGTGGCGAGTGAAAGCGGGTCTAAGGAACGGGCCCACGCACGACAGGGCGGCCCGCTGCCTTCCCGGTGCCATCGAGGGCCCTGCTGCCGGTGTCCTCGAGAGGGTTTGTCGGGCCGATGGCTGCCCCTCGCTGTGTGCCGTGGGGGAGACGCTCTTCTGTGCGGTCCCCGGCGATGGTGGGCTCAGTCCTCCCCTGCGTTTGACACTTCTCACTTACACACTGAGACCTGATGAAGGTACATGGCACTACACTCTCAAAGCAAACTTCTGAGAGGTTAGGAGAGCGTTCTCAGGTGAGGTGGTCAGCTTAAAAGGTGCTGGAGGGCTTAAAATGGGGCTGGAGTTGGTGTCTCAACTGTGGACCCACGCTCTGGCTGCTGGGGGGGAGGGTTTCAAACTAGAACCTGCCCACAGCCCTCTTCTCTTTAATAGCAATCAACTAAAAAGATAACCTTTCTGTCCAGATGTAGAAATTTGGTTCTAAGCAAGGTAGCAACAGATGCTTTGGCTTCAGAACATTTATTCAGCGACCCAGTCCTGGTACCTCAGAAAGGGGTGGAGGGATGTTTGGATTTTTGTTGTGGCTTTGTCTTCCTGAAGCTTGCTCTTTGCCAGAGCTCAAAAAAGTGACTGCAGTTATTTGCTTCTGTTATGGAAATAACTGCAAACTCCTTATAATAAGATAATATTTGTTTTTAGCTCACAGTGTGAGCAATGCTGGGTGTTCTTGCCAGGGGATTCATCTGCAGGTGAAGGGTTAGGAAGGGAAGACATGTTTTCAGCATCTTGCAGTTTCCAGCAGGTCAGCTGAACAGCTTCGCTTGCACATTCAAGGCAATTACTGGAAAAGCAGGTGTCCTTGCTTGCACAGAGGCAAGTATGATAAGAAAATATCGGCTTCATCAGTTTGTCAATTTTCTAGACTGTTCAGGGCAAGTCTGCCCATTTCAGCTTGTATTGGTCGCCTCTTTCTTGCCTTGAGAGAAGGTGGTGTGTGATGTCTTTCAGCTGGTGTAGATAGATGTGCAGTTCTGATCCAGGTGGGGACTGGTTCCTGTGCTTTACAGAACAGCAATCGCTAACTGTACTATTGCACTGTGCTCTTGCTCATAAGGAAAGGATATTCCTCCCCAGACAACGTGCTACCCTTATCTTTAGCTGTAGACGGAAGTTCCTGGGAAGTCTGTGAAGTAGTGTATGTATAACGATATTTATTGGCAGTGAGCTGTCATAATGTATTACGTGTGCAATTTTTTCCTGATATTATTTAAATAACTTACACAAACAACGTCAGAATACCTGTTACAGTGGAAACATGTGATGTTGAACTACTGAATTCTGAAGAACAGAGATTGCATGTAATAGTGCAGAGTCAATGTGACTCTGGAGTATTTCCACAGATTCTTTAAGCATGTGCTGTGTGGTTTTGGCACCTTATTCCTTCACGTGGGACATACTTTTAAGTTTTAAAACACAAGTTATTGGTGCTGACCCTGCTCCTTTGACTGATTTGCCTTCCCAGTCCATCCAGAGCTGGGGCCATGTTTCTGGACTCTGATGCCTCTGGACAGTCGTCTTGGGATCCCCGTGTTCAGAGCTCGGTGGTGTTTGCAGAGACTGAGCTCAAGGGACTTGCTAGTAAGGAGCAGAGTGTTTCCCCGCAGTCAGCTAATTGTTCCGTGAGGATCTACCCACTTAGCTCCTCTAATCAGGGCGTGGTTTTCTTATGCAGGAAGTGAGTGTTAATTAACTCTTATTTTCATTACTCCAGGGATCTCTTTATAGAATCTCCCACATTGTGACCTGATGCTGTCTTGAAATATGCTTGTTCTTGTCTTAATTTAATTTTGTGATTTTTCTTGTCTGCTGCTGCAGAGGATGTTAATTTATATACTCATGGTCTTTCCAGAACAAAACTCTGAACTGCAGAAGTCTTTGTTCACGTTTCTTTAAAACGTTTCATTATAGGGACGTTGGAGATAATACTGATCCTCCTTTGATGTTTCTAGTTTCCTTTTCGTTGCATGGTACAGCTGAGTAGAAGGACTTGATTCAGTGTTTAGGAGGAGAAATTTGACCAGACAGTAGATCAGCTCAGAGGATCAGTAGCAAAGAAGCTCCTCTCCTGAACCCGTGCCAGACATGGGAGTGTGCCTCTGAGCGAGGATGTGCACCTCGTGGGCAGTCACTGCTGGCTGTTCCCCCGCACGGTGCATTGCCTCCAACTCCAGTGGTGCAAAGTCCGTGAGAGGGGAACTGGCTGCAGGGCTACCTGTGCTGGGAAGCCGTGGGCATGAGACAGCTGTGCTGACTGGCCTCCTAAAATAGATGAAGCCTGGCCTGGCTGCTCCTGAGCATGCAAAGAGCTAACTACTGCCAGGGCCCTTCTGGGCCAAGGTGGCAGCTCAGATCGCCCTCTTGGATTTAGGCATTAAAAATCTGTTTCTGATGCTTTAATCCATATGGGCCTTGCGTTGAGCGTTCCCTTGCTCTCAATGTCAGTGCCTTGTGAGGGCCTAGCAGTGATTACCAGGCAGATTTTCTGCCGCTAATCAAGTGTTACCATATTCTGATCTGTCTGTTCTCTTTTTATAGGCAATAAATGAGTTTTTTAGAGAGGTACAAAGTAGTACAGCGAGGTACAAGAGAGAATTTATGTATTTCCTTCTCTTCACTTTTTCTGTCTCTTGGCATCTCCTAATGGCAGAGAGGTCACAAAGATGAGAGTGCAGGAGCTCAGTAAGCAAGCTGAAGAAGTATACTTGCGATGGTAGGAAAGCAATTCACCAAGATACAGGATGATGCTTTTTCCTTTTAGTACCACAGCTTTATGTACAAGCTCTGAGGTTTTAAATATTATGGATCATAAGGTGATTTAACTACAGGGCGTCTGAGGGCAGAAATTTGTTCCCAGATTCAGCCACACCAGCAGCACTGAATATTGAATGAAATGCAAATTTGAAAAAAGATGTGATGTGGAGGAACGTTTTGCCAGCAACCGCAGGGAAAAGGAAAGTAGGACAATGTGAGATGATGTCTGATTTGTCCCTGTTATTTGGGCAAGGGCAGAGGGACAGGGTTAGTAGTAGCTCGGGGAAGAGGAATGTCATTTAACAAAATATGCACACCTCCCATGGAAAAATAAGTTTGTTTCAGTTCCTTGTCAAAAAAATGCAGTGAGTCATCCAGGCAGTAGAATAGTCTGTCTGTATTATTTCAGGCTTCAAAATGTCCTCTCAGATAAAAGTAAAACATGCTTTTTTCCTCTTTTTCCAACAGGAAAGAGACTACAAGAATGGATCTCTGTCATCTTATGCTTCTCTCTGATCTGTTTCAATTTTTACAATCTTCTCTTCTACTTGCGACTGGAACACACGCCCTCTATTATTGTTGGGATATGTAAGTAGGAAACTGTTCGCTGGCGTGAACAAGGCAAGACTGTCTGTTGTAATGCTGGAAACAAACGTGTGATCTTTTAGTTTGACTTACTAGTGGAAAGGGAGAGGGACATTTGTGGGTGTGCATTTGTGGTGCCTCTGAAACCGAGACTGTCTGCAAAAATTGTTCCTGCTTTCTGTCTTTCATTTCAGTGGCTTCTCAGTACCTCAAAGGTGAAGTTTTTAACGTAGCTGTTTGATGTTCTTATGTAGTCATTGCAAGTGTAAGGACTATTGAGAAGGCAAATAGCTGTCAGGGTTGGAAACAAAATACATTGATTGACAAAAATACTTACAAGAACTCTTCAGAAAGCAAAAGCCCAAGAGCAATCTTAGAAAATTGTTGCAGGCATCAAACTAGTTTAATTTCTGGGGACTGATAACCAAAAATGAGTATTTTGGACTATTATGCTTCCATGTCAGGATGTGAAGTTAAGCCTTTATGCTGGATGATGAGTTTTTTCCCAGTGATGTAAGAAAAGTTGCAGCTTTCTTCTGGTAATAAATGTGATTCTTGTTCTCTTGTTACGTTGTTCGATTGGAAGCGTAGGCAAACAAGGTCGGTCTCATATCTTTGCCTTGGACGTGTAGAGGTGCTTAAGTTGGCTGGTTCTTGGCAGTACAGAGCGAGCTGGCCTAGGTGCAGTGTGAGCTGGTGATTTCAGTGAAGGAGAGGAAGAAGTAGTAAAGGATTCTAGTTTGATGCTGTACAGCTTTACTGATAGAATCAGGAATTGCATGGAATTAGCGGAAGGAAAAACTTGTCTTGAAATAAGCTTGGTGTGAAAAGACTCCACAACATCCATTACATCATTCAAAGCCTAAACCTGTGTACAACTTATTGTACAGCAACATGTTGCTTAATGCTCAGAGCAAAATGTATCAGTGTTTACATGAGCTTTGTGTTATTAGAACAGTATTGAAATGCCGTCACACAGAAACTTTCTTGAGAAGAAGCAGAAGAGAGGGTGGTTGAGCAGGCTGAGCTGGACCAGGTGGGCATCTGTGGCTGACTCAGTCTGTTGGCATTACCTGGGCAGCAAGTGTCACTGGTAGCTGTATGGTCGTGTACCCATGGGAGGGGGCATGGAATAAGGAGAGAGAATTAAATGTAGAAATCAGCAGAATCAGCTCTGCAGTGCCCACCTTTCATAACTTTCAGGTAAACTTCTAATATGGGGTGAGGGAGGGAAGAGACAGTAACTAAGCATTTCCCCAGTCTTCTGCTGTATTGGGATGCCTATTGAATGTAATAACCTCTTGTGTTGAGTGTGTATGAATGTCTACTAATTTTGGTATGAATTGCCTTGCTAACTGAAAGGAGAACAAATGGTATCATTCATTATTACACCATATAAGCTCCCTACAGGTGTTCACCTTCCGAGCTTTATTGTAAAAGTATCTTTTCTGTAAACACCTGTGTGAGGTGTTGTATGTTTTAGAAGAGAATGGTACTTGTTCATAGTCACTGTTGTATATCACTAATAATTTAAAAAAGCAAACCAAACACA